GATAATCCGGATAATTTATCCGTTACAATTTTACTTATCCGGATTACTTATCCGTTAGCCAAACCCTTATCCGGATAACCCTATCCGGATCCAAGCACTACGTATGTAAGAGCACTACTAATTGAAATCAATAATTACATATTTGATTTCACAAAATAATCGTAACAAAAAACATGCAACCTCAAATACCGTAACATTATTTTCCTAGTTGTAACTTAACCCTTTGTTAAACTGTAATAATACAATTAAAATAAATATAATTTTTATCAATAATTAAATAATGTTACCCAATAAATTATTAATTATTAATGATTAACCAATAACTGAGTGTTTCACATGCGGTATCTATTTAAAATCCCGACATATTAGCCCGCATTAGGGTTAGAGTTAGCATAATGATAGTCAATTTTTGTCGGAATTTTTGTTTTTGGGTATTTCGTTGTCGGGATTTTGTACCAAAAACTTTCACATGCAGATACGAAACTATCTTCGTACTTATACTATAACGATAAGAGAAAAATATTGATTATTATAAATTAATTGCTCAGAACATAATCTGCCACCTCCTTATAATCCTAAGAATAACAAATTACATTTCAACTAATCAACCTGTTAGTACAATATCAAAAGAACAAATTGTATATATACATAATTGCAAACTCAAGTTTACATCTGTCATATTGGTGATTTTCAGGCCTACCGAAAAATTAATTTTTGTCATATGTCATACAATTAAAATCAATTAATCAATTTTTTTTATTATATCGTTACATTACTCAAGTTTGATTCAATAACTTAATACAATCTTGGCGAATATATAATACGTAGTCTAATTACATAAAAAAATGAAATTAATTGACCAATTATGGCTGCGCCACCAATCAATTAATTGAGTTCAAAAATTGCACAAAATCATATCCGTATGGAATTTATAAGATTTATGGAATTTATGAGACTTATGAAATAAATTAGATATATTACTTTTATGGCATTTATGTAATAAATTAGATAAATTGCATTCAAATTTATATTATAAATAAAGGCATAAAGGAGAGTAACAACTCCAAAGTTTGCTTTGATAAAATTGAATTCTTTATTAAATAATCATTAAGTCCCAATACATTTACAATTAAATTCCGAATATACCATATTTGAACCATAAGTCCCGATCTACTGTTTAAAGTAACATAACAATAAGATTTTCGTTACCTTGTCCACGTGATACTTAGTTTGTCCGGTTAGTCTTAACGTATCAAGACCAACCGTGGTATTTTGTCCAACTAGCCCGACGGATTGTGGTTAGTTGTGGTTATCGAATAAAGTCCAATTACCTGACGTACTGCGGTGATTGTGGTTCACGTTTAGGATACATGACGTACAGTTGTATCCAAGTCATCCAAATTTCAAAGTTAAAGTTCTTACGCGGTTCTCCTAATTAAAATATAAGATTAGTATTAGTAGGGTAATCTTCAAAGGCAAAATCACTAACTTATTTACCTACGAACCTAAACCACTGACCAAATCTAAATGCCCTCTTTCGACTAAGCCATTCGTAGGTTACACAAGATTTTCCATCGTCCAGCAACTGACTCACCGTTTTCTCCCGTGGCACTATAAAGTTTGAATAGTTAATTATAGTTTGCATAGTTAACTATAAGTAGCTGCGCAACGCAGTTGCGCGAAACCAGGAACGGGGACGTAGTGCATACAGTGTTAGATACTATAAAAAGATCTTTATAAAGGTATTTTTAGTAAGCGCACTTCAGACATGCACATGGTTTAACCATTATAATTCTTTGATCCTTTGATTTAGAATTGACAATCTATTATAGAAAAAGGATGATTGTAATTCTTTGATTTAGAATTGACAATCTAATATAGAAAAAGGATGACATGCACATTGTAATTCTTTGATTTAGAATGACAATCTATTATAGAAAAAGTATGATTGTAATTTATTTTTAATGTTAAGAAGATTAATGTTAAAACTATATAAAGAACCAAGAAAAATATTCTTTATAAATGCAAAATGGGTAATTGAGAGAGCTATTTTAAATTTTAAGCTCCTTTTACGAGATAAAAGTCGCACAATTTTGTAATAAAATTTATAAACAATTGACCATATTGTCTATTCTTATAAATTTTCATATAATTTAAAGGATCGTACGATATTACTAGCATGTGTTTTCTCTGTTCAGGTAAGTAAATTTATAATGCCCAATATTTATGTAGACTATTTTAAATTACCATTTACGCTGAATTTTTTTTAATTCCTTTTATACGTATGACAAATTGTACGATTTTTTACGTATTACAAAAAAATTCCAATTTAGTAATTTTATTAATCATTTTATGTACGTATTACCATTTTAATCACATAATATATCAATTGTCAAATTTAATGTAGTTGATCTACAATATGTGTACGTAATACCGATACGGATTACACAAAAATACGGATTTCACCGGATTGCGATTATTAACATTTTTTCATTATGATATTTTATTAAGGTCTTTAATGATCAATAATTATTTATCACTTTATCAGTTAGTAAAATGTTTATAAATCTAATTATAGAAATGTCAATTAAATATCTTATTTTTATGTGCAGCCTACAGTAATAAAATTGTAATAGGCTTTCATACACTTATTATATAAAAAAAAGAGGATGAAAAAATAGTATTTAAAATGAAAGAAATTTTACTGATTAAATGATATCACGAGTAATAAACAGTCACACGTTCTAAATTATGCACAACAAAAAGTTATTGGTTCAAGATTAAAAATCTTTAATTAATTTATTAATACTAATAACATTTTAGAAAAATTAATTTATTAATTATAACCACTTTTTAGAAAATGGTGGAAAAAAAAAAATCTATTTAAGTTACTATTTAAAATCTAAAATTAATAAAAATTATTAGCATTCTAAGATATGCTACTGGTGAAATTTTTATCAGCATTAATAAATTCTACTATATTCTAAATAAAAGGAATTCGAATCATAGAATTTGGAGAGTAAGAAAATAGCATAAATGCTTGATTAATAATCTATTTAGTTTTACATTTCTTTGCCTTTTGATGTTTATCTGGAAATTCCTTTAAATTAGGAGTTATTCTTTTTCCTTTGAGTTTCAGATCAAATACTCTGATTGTACTAAATTTTTCTGGCACAAATGGTGGCAATTTGTTTCCACGACCGTGCTCAGGGTCTTGTTTTGCACATAATCCGTCAAGTTCATGATGCCTAGGTTTTTTGGTACAAATAACAGATCTTTGACCCTTATCCGGAGTGTTTTTTTCAGATTGTATTAAAGACTGGGCAAGTTTAGTAAGATCACGTTTCATCTTTTTACCATTTTTAAAATTATCAGCTTAAAATATTGATTATAGTATTGGAAATTAGTAAAATTAAAAATAAAAGTGAAAATTTAAGTTTATATTTAAATTTACCTAAATAATATGCAACATCCATAATTTTGTCACATTGAATTTGCACAGAACAAGGAGGAGCTGCAGCCAATAAAGAATCTATAATCAAGCCTTGCATATCACCAAAAAATCCATTAACATCGCCATCACCAGTCTTATAATGCAGTAATTTGTCAAGATCTGTATTATTATGTTCTCGATTAAATCTCGCGTTAACAGTAGTAAATAAAAGAACCAAAGTGATTAAAATAGAATATTTCATTATTAAAAATAATTATATGTTGTTTGAAATATAAGAGAAAGGGTGGTTTTTTTTTTTGAATTAAAGGATGAATCTTTTTTTCGTAGCATTATCTACTCTTTATATAGAAAATTTGATATAATAAAAAAGTATTATTATTTCGAAATAATTATTGAATATAATATTAATAAAGTCTAATATTAACACGCATAATTATTCAAATTTTACTAACCATTTTTTTAATCTTTTTGAATAATGTAACTTCGGGAGCTAAACATCAGTTCCATATTAAGTTAGAATGTTTATTAGATAAATTAATGTAAATCCTAACTTACTGAAATAGTAATTACTAAATAATAATTTTTTTTCTGGCAAAAGAAACATCGACTTATCTAAAATAATAAGTTTTTTTTCGTAAAATATATTCATTGGAAAGTAAAACTCTTTTAAAAAATCGTAAAGACCATTCGAATAAATTAGAATCCAAAACAATTGTTCAAAAGACTAAAAAAAAAAAAAAAATGCGTTTATGAACATATGCATTTTAGGTTACAATCAAGTGACACTCATTTTACTAACAACTTTAGGTTGGCTCGATTTAAAAAATAGTGTTGGGGGATTGTCGAGAAATCATATAGATCTCTCATTTAAAATTTAATGGATATTCGGGTCAAATCTCTATTATATTCTATAGAATAATTGGGCAAACTCCGCTGAATATATTAAAAAATTAATGATTACTAATCATTAGCGGAGCATATTTCTTATATAGAACATCCTTTTTTTTTTATTGAAATTTTCAAACTTTGACTCAGCCGGGTTATGAACAACAGTTTCATAATTCTTGGACACCCGAAAAACTTCTGATAACAGAATTTATAAGTCGCCTAGTCTGGAGTCAATAAAATTATAAACATAAAATTAGATATCATCGGAAAATTTTCAGTGTCCCAGGAATAATGAAATAGATAGCCATAATTTTATCACTAATAATATACCACACAATTTATCTAGTTAATTAAATTAATATAATTAATTGCAAATTAGGAAATAATTTACAAATTTTTTATTATGTGAAAACCTAAAAATTACAGATTTTTTAAAAACCGATCCATTCCAAATAAAGTAGGAAAATTTTATTCTACGTATTATTAGTGGGTTTTACCACAAAATCCCGAAAGGACCTAATATCGACAAGGTTAGCCGGCATTAGTTATAATGTTGGCCGATCTAGTCAGTATTATGCTCTTTTGGGAAAATGGTTTTCGGGATTTTGTGGTAGAACCATATTATTTACGTATAATAAAATTATTAAATGACTTTTTAAGATGAATTTTTAAATACACTACAAGTATGAATATGGAAATGACTATAATTTTATTAACATACTCAAAAAATAACTAATATTGATTAAGGTTTCAGACAAAATTGAACGAATAAACACAATCAAAACATTCGTAATAGAGATCAGAATGAACTACCATAACAAGGTTATTATTATTCAAGCCTTACGGGTTAAATATAAATTTTAATTAAATAAACAAAAAATTTATATAATTCGTGTGTTAAAAAAAATTTTTTTTAAGAGCTTTGAATCATATTAGTCTGAGTCGTTTTAATGCAAAATAAGATTCAATAATATTCAATAATTTAATAGTCATATATAACTGCATGAAAATTGACTTGCTTTTATTATCAAAGTTATAGTATAGTCTAATTTCAGTTTCAAACAATTTCACAATATAAGAATGATTAATAAATAAAAGTTTCTTTATTTTTACAAGTTCTTGTATATTCTATGTACCACGACAATGAGATATCAGACCAATTTGATTCTCTGTTGTGAGGCTGGGAAATTGGTAGATTGCATAAATCGCATATACGTATTGCATATATGCCATATATTACATATCTGCTATATGGAATATATGGATTAAATGCCATACGTATATGAAATATATGGCATATCTGCAATAAATGACAGATCTGTAGTAAATAGCATAACTTGTATACAAATTTTATATTATAAATAAAGGCCGTGTTGGCCCATAGAGGAGAAGAACTCCCAAGTTCGCTTTTATGAACAATGGAGTTCTTTATTAAATAAATCCTACTAGGGGCCTGCAAATTACCTATTTTTGTGGCCCGGCCCGGCCCGCACTTAGTTTTAAAATTTTTTTGTCGGCCCGGC